TTACTAGTCTCAGATGTTTCTTCCTCTCCCCTCAGGGAGTTTCCTCCTGCACATCTTGTATCATTACACACTCTACAGAATACTGGTGGGGAACCCCATGCAGTTCCCTTCCAGGCCTGTTCTCTCCTCTCCAGGACTACACCCTGTGAACTCAAAGGGTCCTGCCTTCTGTGCACTCCTCGCTCCTTCTCAGTTTAAGGAAGATGAGGTCTGCTCAGTCTCTGCTCCTTGCACTGAAGCCTAGAACCTTTACAGGCAGTCAGCTAAGGGTCACCCTTCTCTGCTTCTCTTCTCAAGGGTCACAATCTTTTATTGCCTGCTCTGCGTTGCTTCAAGACTGTTGTGTCATACATTTTAGCTCATTTTACAAATTTGTTCAGACAATTTAATTTGATCCCTATTACTCCATTTTAAGCAGAAGTGTAAGTGGCCAAAAATTTTTAGTTGTTTTTATTCTACAAGTTTTACCATTCTCTTTTCTGCAATAATACTTTTGACAATAATACTTTAAGAGATGTTTAAGAATCTTATTATAAATTTGGTATAATTACAAGATTAATCAGATATAGGAACAAACAGGCTAGAGCAGTTAAGCTGGTACATGGAAAACTGAAAGAGGATCTAACCATTAACTCTTTTGACAGGATGAGGAGGGCTTTCTTTTAGGAGATGAAGGCCTCCCAGGTAGGGGGAAAGTTAGATACTAGGCCACCCAAGAATCACAAGAGTCCACCATGACCACATTCTCTGATAATCAAGTAAATATAATATGCAGTCACATAACACATGAAATATAATGTATATAGCTAGTATATTAAAAAGAGATTTTATTGAGTTTGGGATGTAAAATCAGTGGTTGAGCACTTGCCTAACACTAGTTTAATTCCCGTGGCATCCAAAAGAATAAAAAATAAAAAGTTTCTCTAGAAATTGGTGTTATGCTTCTGTCAACAAACCAAAAAGGGAACAAGACTGTGCCAGTTCATGGGGCTGGGGATATAGCTCAGTTGGTAGAGTGCTTGCCTCAAATGCACAAAGGCCATGGGTTCAATCCCTAGCGCACACCCACACACATACACACACACACACACACACAAAAAAAAAGAGTGTGCCATAACATATGACTAATATCCTTCAGAAGCATTGGATTGTGTGGTCAGACTGCTTAGTTCTATGATGAATTTACAAACCCTCATTCAAATCAGCCATGTCATCTGGCATTCCTGCTACCACTGCATGAGCATTCCTGTTCTTTTACATCCTCACCAGTATTTGGTGTTGTCAATGTGTTAGGTTTTAGCTACTCTAATTGATATCTAGTGGCATCCTATTATTGTTTTAACTAACAATTCCCTGATGAATTTGAGAATCTTGTATATTTATGTGCCATATGTAATGCAATTGGTGAGGTATCTGTTCATATCTTTTGCCCATTAGTTTTATTGCTTTTTTCTTGCTGTTGAATTCAAGAGCTCTTCGATATTCAGGATACACGTCCCTTATCGGGTATGAGTTTTGCAAATATTTCTTCCAACCCTGTGACTTCTCTTTGCATTCTTTTAACTGTCAATACATTTGAAAGTTCTCACTCATCTTCAAAGCTCTCAGAAAAGCTCATAGACCCAAGGCAGACATGGTGTCTAACTGACTGATTTTTAAGTAGTCAACACTACACAGGACTGAGGGTGGAGATGGTTGTGGGGAATGACAGCTGTGGAGAAAGCAGACATCCAGGAGTCAACACTGCCAATTTTTACTCCTGGAAGCCCACCAAATTACATCAACCTTTGACGCTCTCTTCTGCTCCTCAATCTTTGAGAAGTATTCAAAGGAATCTTTAGCTTCTCTCCAAACTGCTATATCAGTGGCGAGCAAGGTCCCTTGTCCTTAGATCTGAGAGGCCCGAGCCTTGGATGTCTCCATGACACCTGTAACCCACAGGGTCACACACTGACCCTTGCTTCTCCCCAAAGCTGCTCTTGCTCTCAACACCCCATTTCAAGGTTCACCCCATCCAGGAACCCTGAACCTCTGAGCCTCTCCCTGATGCCCCCACCACTACAGTCCAGCCTCATGACCCATCCAGGCAGTGTCTGCTGACCTGCCTCTCGGCCTCACACTGGTAGAGCCCTGCCCTTTTCTACACCTCTCATCCTGCCCTAGCCTCCTCCTTGGGTATCCAACTGTAGTCACATGCCATCACCTTACCCCCATTTATTTCGCCAATAACTAAAGAGTCAGGCTCTGTACTGGACAATGAGGACAGAGTGGCAACCTAGGTAAGCATAATGGATGAGAGAGAGGTAGGTCCCTAAAAAGGTAATATAGTAGAACAAAATGGAAACTTTAGTCTCTTAAGAGCTGAAGGCTCTGGTTTCACACATTGGTACACAGCAGCTCTGCTTACTGGCATTTAACCAGAGAGGCTTGAGGTGGCCGTCAAGTAGCTATAACAAGATGACCACATTTGCAGAAGCAGAAAACAAAATAACTGGGACAAAAGAACCAACCCCCACCCGCCCAGGCTTAATGCAGTGGAAGTTACCAAGCAGTATGAGCTGAAATCCCCTAGTCTGTTGACAAGCTTGTATCCACATAAGGAACCTAAGGTGCATCCTCCAGTAGAATTGCACCAATCCATTGCCTCAATTTGCCCAAAACCTACTTATGTATAAACTATAAGCCCTACTGCACTTGGGGCCAGACTTTGGGAATTAGCCCTCTGAGCCATGCCCACTAATAAAAGGCTGTTTCCAGATCTCGCTGTGTCCTGCCCTCCTTTCCCACTACATAACCACTTGCCAGAATCCCAAAATCCTGTGTTCCTCTCCGCTCTGGACCTCGTGCCCGCTCCCACTGAACTGCCACATCTCTGCTCTAGGCTTCTGCGCCCTCCAGAACGCCCAGAGCTCTATCTGACGCAAAATGACCCACCCCTGCTGCTCTTTTTCTACCATCCCTGCCTAGGGAAGCGCCCACCTCCCCCACTGAACGGTGAGTTCCTGACGGTGGGGACCAGGGCGCTCTTGGTCACCGCGCAGCACAGGGTCAGCTCCTGGGACACTAATGACACGGGGAGCAAAGGCGAGGACCTGAAAGGCTGCGTAGCGCAGGGAGGTTGGGGCCACGCTCTCTGCTCTACCTGTGCTCAACCTTGGGACTCGCTGCTTCTGAAACTCGCGAGCAGTGAGTGCCGGGTCCCCTGCGGATGCCAGCCCCGTTTCTCCAGGACCTGAAGAGGGCACTGAGGACCCTCTGCCTCTTCACCAACAGCTGGCGGTCAGCGGAGCAGAGGGGAGGCCAGCGGGCGCCAGCGCCTCCCTCAGTGGGGCCCACACGGGAGCACTGGGCCCTGCGGGACCAGCGGGACAGCCCTCGAGCCGGCGGCTCTGGACTCTCGGTCCTCCGGGCCCCGCGGGCCTAGCTGCCGGCGCACTCGTGACGTCAGAGGAGGGCGCCACGCTTGAAAGAGGCGGCGGGAGGCGGCGGCCGGGGCCAGGCGCTGTCAGAGAGCTGAAGAAGGACAGGAGAGGCAGGTATCCGAGGAATAGCAGGAAGCAAGTTTATTGGCTGCAGCCAGGTTCGAAGGTTTTTATTTTTATTATTTTTTGCCTCTGTCAAAGCACCCCTTTGACTTTGAGTTCAGAAAGTTTTAAAACTTTATATCCAATGTGTAAGGGGAGGAGCTCAGAGGCTCACAATCTGTAGAATTTCACATAAAAGCAGCTTTTTCACTGTTCTGGGTACCCAATTCAAATCAAGGACACTCCGAAAATTAGTGTCTGGGAAAGGGAGAGTCCTTCTCCCCTTTCTTTCCACTGGCTGGCTCTGCAGGATCTGACTGTAGTCCTTTGAGATGCAAACGCCTCTGTGTAGGCTCCAGACCCCAGCTGAAGACCTTGAGTCCACTCTGTCTCTGCAAACTCACCCTCCACCTGAAAACTCTGTTGTAGAAATTCTTACTGATACTATAAGAACAATTATGTTAAACAGAACTTTTGAAGCTTAGCTATGGCAGGGGTCTTCTGGGTGGAGGTCTCTGGCCTGATTCAGAGCTAGTGCAGGAAGCGTGGGAACTGGGTTGCTAGGCAGCCAAAGAATCCATGCTACCCAGGTGAATCTGGTGGGCATAGGGTCTCCCCGTTCTGCAGAGAGTCACTGACAGGACCCCACAGCTCACTGAGGGTTCTCACCCTCACCCAGCACCACATAACTGGGCTTCCCGATCTTGGCAGTATTAAGTTCAAGAAGAGCCTCCCAGATTTCAGGGACAACAGCAGATACTGACTCCTTGCCCACTCCTTGGCAATAACCACCACATTGGAGACTAAATCTGTAGGAGTGATGACCCTGTCTGGTCATCAGAACACTTCAGGGCAGACCACCTCTCACCTCATCTCTAGAAGTAACTGGAGAAATGGAGCACCCCATTTGGGATGAGGATGCCCCCATACTTAGTGAGAAACTCATCATCTCTGTGACTAAGAAGGGCCTTCCTTCCCCCAGAAGTGAGAATTCCTTAGCAAAGACTTTCCCTACCACCATCACCCTAGCAATAAGCATCATTCATCTGGGTTGTGCCCCAGACATAGCTTTACACCCTGTCCCCACAGGCTGTGTCTGGGCAAGGGGCTGATATCTGGGCCTACATCTTGCAGCATGTGCATAGTCAGAGATGAGCCAGTGGGATCAGGGGAGGATGCCAGGAAGAGGGCACAGACAAGTCTCACAGTAACTCCTCTTCCTCTACTTCTCCACTATAATAGTGTCAAGAAGATCCGGGGAAATTTACTGTGATAAGTGCTTCTCAATGCTGTCCCATCCTATCTTCTCCAGTCCCATCTGGCCTTGTCCCCACCCACAACCTCACACTGATACTCTAAGAACAATTATGTTAAACAGAATTTTTGAATTTATGACAAGGGTCTTCTGGGTGGAGGTCTCTGGCCTGACACTTCCTGCCTCACACTTCTTGCCCTTCCTTCTGCAAGCCCCACACATATCCTAACTCTGGCATGGTTTCTTCAGGCCACCAGGACAGTCCAGAGGTGAGAAGCCTATGCTGTAAGATTCCCTTTCACCCAAGAAAGAACTTGTACATCTTATGCTCTAGGCCCTGCTTGGTGCTGGATATGCTGGGGTGGGGGGGGGCAGGAATCAGCTGGTGAAATAGCACAGTTGAATGTTTGTCCCATCAAACCTGGTGAGGGGAGAAGTAGTATGGACAAGATTTGGAAGAGATGCAAAGGCCAGTTTGTGATCCAGTTGGTGCAAGGAAACCAGATGACATCCATGGGAGGCTTTGAGGAGACCTCAGGACTCCTTGGTGTGGGGCCCAGGGAAAATCTCACCACTGAGATGGAAACACAGAAAAAAAAACTGCAGAAAGGATAAGAGAAACAATCTCAGGAGAAAAGGGGGAGCCAGAGAGTACATCAGTGCTTCTGCATCAGACAAGGAAGCTGCACAGGAAAACCCTTAACCACTCCCCTGGCAGATAAGGAGTCTGGTGCCTCCTAAAAGGTAGTGAGGCCAGGCTAAGCCACACTCAGACGAGCATCTGACTCTATACCTGATCTCACCAGGTCAGCAGGAAGTTGGAGCTGGAAGCTGCAGTGGCACGCCTGCGCACAGAGATCCAAGAGCTAGACCAGAACCTGGAGCTGATGGAGCGAGAGGCTGAGGCTCAGGGTGACCCATGGGTCCAGGAAGGTGGGCATTTAATGCTGGGTGGGAAAAGTGCTGACCCCTGTGTCTCCCACAGACCTGGCTGTGGAGCAGATGCTGCAGAGCACACGGGACACCCAGTATCGAGCTCTCCTCCTCCGGGCCCAAACTGGAAACCTGCGAAGACAGCAGCACGGACTGCGAATCCCCACGCAGCAGCTGCAGAATCAGCTCAGGCGCCTACAGGACATAGAGAGGTGGGCCTCATCTGCCCAAGAGACCAGCTTTCACCAGGTGGCCACACATTTACCTCTGAGATCCCAGTGTTCTTACCTGATCCTTTACTGGGTTCCAGAATTCTGCACAACCAACCCTAGGATTTAAGGCCCATAAGCCCAGTTAGTTTTGCACCATCTCTTGGGTAACAACAATAGACATAGGACAGGCCCCTGTTTATGCTCCTGGACCTTATGCTCTGATGCAGAGAAGGCAGACTGCAAACTAGGAAACAGATCCTGTCATTTTGGGGAGAAATAAGTTCAATGAAGAAAAGACTGTGTGACCAAGGGAAAGGTGTTTGCTACCTGAGCTAGGATGCTCAGGACAAGCCTCTCTGAGGAGGTAACCTGGGTTGGGGCACAAATATTCATGGAGAGGGAACAGCCAGGCTCCAATCTTGGCCTTCAGGAAGAGCTGCCAAGAGGCAAATACAGCTCAGTATTTGAAGACAGGAGGGACAAGATGAAGAGGTGAGGTAGGAGAAGCAGTCAGATGGCCCTGGAGGCATAGGAGTTTTACTGGTAGATGGA